CCGTTCTAAACTGTGTGAGGATCAAATCTTCTCACATACCATTTACCTTTATAACAAGAAATTTGATTGGCTGTTTATAGCAGATCCAATCTGATTGGTGTGACATACATACATCTCCCACTCACTCATCCATTGACCCGTCCATAACATGCCCCACGCGCCGACTAAGAGGTATTTTTTACAAAAAAATAACTCAAAAAATTTGGCAAACCACCGAGACGTACTCTCCCCAGACCTTTTCGGTCACGGCAGCCGTAGTAGCACCAGCCGTAATGATTTGCTTAAACTCCCTAATTGCTTTTTAACGTCTCAGTTTTGAGTCGTAACAACCATCAATGAAAAATCAAGCTTTGTACGCTACCTATAAATATAGAATTTAATAATTGCTTTCCGCTTAGTTTTTGGTTTTTGGTTTTCCTGTTCTCTCTTGATAACGTTTTCTTACTAAGGTCTCGCTCATTTTCTCAAACTCTTACAAGCTGCGAGGCCACGAACGCCGGAAGTGACATTGGATTTTTGCGTTTGACCGCTGTCAAATCGTAAAAATCTGGAGACCTAATAACGTCGTAGCTTGTTAGAGATAAAAGTATGTCGCTCGTAATTCGTAGTCAAAGACCCTAATGCCTTCGCATTAATTCATGTCTCTGGGACGTTATAATTAAGAAAAGAACAGAAATGCTTCAGAATTTTCAGGTCATTTATATTAATGAGAATTTCCCTTTCTTTGCCAGATCAACATACGGGCGCCACTGCTTCATCGCCAACACAGGAAAGTTGCGCAGGTATAATGAACTTTGATGGTAAACTTATAGTCGGAAGTCTTTTCTTTTGGTTTTTGATGGTAAACTTAGAGTCGGAAGTCTTTTTCTTTCAGTATTTGGTTTTCCTGTTCTCTCTTGATAACGTTTTCTTACTAAGGTCTTGCACATTTTCTCAAACTCTTACGAGCTGCGAGGCCACGAACGCCGGAAGTGACATTGGATTTTTGCGTTTGACCGCTGTCAAATCGTAAAAATCTGGAGACCTAATAACGTCGTAGCTTGTTAGAGATAAAAGTATGTCGCTCGTAATTCGTAGTCAAAGACCCTAATGCCTTCGCATTAATTCATGTCTCTGGGACGTTATAATTAAGAAAAGAACAGAAATGCTTCAGAATTTTCAGGTCATTTATATTAATGAGAATTTCCCTTTCTTTGCCAGATCAACATACGGGCGCCACTGCTTCATCGCCAACACAGGAAAGTTGCGCAGGTATAATGAACTTTGATGGTAAACTTATAGTCGGAAGTCTTTTCTTTTGGTTTTTGATGGTAAACTTAGAGTCGGAAGTCTTTTTCTTTCAGTATTTGGTTTTCCTGTTCTCTCTTGATAACGTTTTCTTACTAAGGTCTTGCACATTTTCTCAAACTCTTACGAGCTGCGAGGCCACGAACGCCGGAAGTGACATTGGATTTTTGCGTTTGACCGCTGTCAAATCGTAAAAATCTGGAGACCTAATAACGTCGTAGCTTGTTAGAGATAAAAGTATGTCGCTCGTAATTCGTAGTCAAAGACCCTAATGCCTTCGCATTAATTCATGTCTCTGGGACGTTATAATTAAGAAAAGAACAGAAATGCTTCAGAATTTTCAGGTCATTTATATTAATGAGAATTTCCCTTTCTTTGCCAGATCAACATACGGGCGCCACTGCTTCATCGCCAACACAGGAAAGTTGCGCAGGTATAATGAACTTTGATGGTAAACTTATAGTCGGAAGTCTTTTCTTTTGGTTTTTGATGGTAAACTTAGAGTCGGAAGTCTTTTTCTTTCAGTATTTGGTTTTCCTGTTCTCTCTTGATAACGTTTTCTTACTAAGGTCTTGCACATTTTCTCAAACTCTTACGAGCTGCGAGGCCACGAACGCCGGAAGTGACATTGGATTTTTGCGTTTGACCGCTGTCAAATCGTAAAAATCTGGAGACCTAATAACGTCGTAGCTTGTTAGAGATAAAAGTATGTCGCTCGTAATTCGTAGTCAAAGACCCTAATGCCTTCGCATTAATTCATGTCTCTGGGACGTTATAATTAAGAAAAGAACAGAAATGCTTCAGAATTTTCAGGTCATTTATATTAATGAGAATTTCCCTTTCTTTGCCAGATCAACATACGGGCGCCACTGCTTCATCGCCAACACAGGAAAGTTGCGCAGGTATAATGAACTTTGATGGTAAACTTATAGTCGGAAGTCTTTTCTTTTGGTTTTTGATGGTAAACTTAGAGTCGGAAGTCTTTTTCTTTCAGTATTTGGTTTTCCTGTTCTCTCTTGATAACGTTTTCTTACTAAGGTCTTGCACATTTTCTCAAACTCTTACGAGCTGCGAGGCCACGAACGCCGGAAGTGACATTGGATTTTTGCGTTTGACCGCTGTCAAATCGTAAAAATCTGGAGACCTAATAACGTCGTAGCTTGTTAGAGATAAAAGTATGTCGCTCGTAATTCGTAGTCAAAGACCCTAATGCCTTCGCATTAATTCATGTCTCTGGGACGTTATAATTAAGAAAAGAACAGAAATGCTTCAGAATTTTCAGGTCATTTATATTAATGAGAATTTCCCTTTCTTTGCCAGATCAACATACGGGCGCCACTGCTTCATCGCCAACACAGGAAAGTTGCGCAGGTATAATGAACTTTGATGGTAAACTTATAGTCGGAAGTCTTTTCTTTTGGTTTTTGATGGTAAACTTAGAGTCGGAAGTCTTTTTCTTTCAGTATTTGGTTTTCCTGTTCTCTCTTGATAACGTTTTCTTACTAAGGTCTTGCACATTTTCTCAAACTCTTACGAGCTGCGAGGCCACGAACGCCGGAAGTGACATTGGATTTTTGCGTTTGACCGCTGTCAAATCGTAAAAATCTGGAGACCTAATAACGTCGTAGCTTGTTAGAGATAAAAGTATGTCGCTCGTAATTCGTAGTCAAAGACCCTAATGCCTTCGCATTAATTCATGTCTCTGGGACGTTATAATTAAGAAAAGAACAGAAATGCTTCAGAATTTTCAGGTCATTTATATTAATGAGAATTTCCCTTTCTTTGCCAGATCAACATACGGGCGCCACTGCTTCATCGCCAACACAGGAAAGTTGCGCAGGTATAATGAACTTTGATGGTAAACTTATAGTCGGAAGTCTTTTCTTTTGGTTTTTGATGGTAAACTTAGAGTCGGAAGTCTTTTTCTTTCAGTATTTGGTTTTCCTGTTCTCTCTTGATAACGTTTTCTTACTAAGGTCTTGCACATTTTCTCAAACTCTTACGAGCTGCGAGGCCACGAACGCCGGAAGTGACATTGGATTTTTGCGTTTGACCGCTGTCAAATCGTAAAAATCTGGAGACCTAATAACGTCGTAGCTTGTTAGAGATAAAAGTATGTCGCTCGTAATTCGTAGTCAAAGACCCTAATGCCTTCGCATTAATTCATGTCTCTGGGACGTTATAATTAAGAAAAGAACAGAAATGCTTCAGAATTTTCAGGTCATTTATATTAATGAGAATTTCCCTTTCTTTGCCAGATCAACATACGGGCGCCACTGCTTCATCGCCAACACAGGAAAGTTGCGCAGGTATAATGAACTTTGATGGTAAACTTATAGTCGGAAGTCTTTTCTTTTGGTTTTTGATGGTAAACTTAGAGTCGGAAGTCTTTTTCTTTCAGTATTTGGTTTTCCTGTTCTCTCTTGATAACGTTTTCTTACTAAGGTCTTGCACATTTTCTCAAACTCTTACGAGCTGCGAGGCCACGAACGCCGGAAGTGACATTGGATTTTTGCGTTTGACCGCTGTCAAATCGTAAAAATCTGGAGACCTAATAACGTCGTAGCTTGTTAGAGATAAAAGTATGTCGCTCGTAATTCGTAGTCAAAGACCCTAATGCCTTCGCATTAATTCATGTCTCTGGGACGTTATAATTAAGAAAAGAACAGAAATGCTTCAGAATTTTCAGGTCATTTATATTAATGAGAATTTCCCTTTCTTTGCCAGATCAACATACGGGCGCCACTGCTTCATCGCCAACACAGGAAAGTTGCGCAGGTATAATGAACTTTGATGGTAAACTTATAGTCGGAAGTCTTTTCTTTTGGTTTTTGATGGTAAACTTAGAGTCGGAAGTCTTTTTCTTTCAGTATTTGGTTTTCCTGTTCTCTCTTGATAACGTTTTCTTACTAAGGTCTTGCACATTTTCTCAAACTCTTACGAGCTGCGAGGCCACGAACGCCGGAAGTGACATTGGATTTTTGCGTTTGACCGCTGTCAAATCGTAAAAATCTGGAGACCTAATAACGTCGTAGCTTGTTAGAGATAAAAGTATGTCGCTCGTAATTCGTAGTCAAAGACCCTAATGCCTTCGCATTAATTCATGTCTCTGGGACGTTATAATTAAGAAAAGAACAGAAATGCTTCAGAATTTTCAGGTCATTTATATTAATGAGAATTTCCCTTTCTTTGCCAGATCAACATACGGGCGCCACTGCTTCATCGCCAACACAGGAAAGTTGCGCAGGTATAATGAACTTTGATGGTAAACTTATAGTCGGAAGTCTTTTCTTTTGGTTTTTGATGGTAAACTTAGAGTCGGAAGTCTTTTTCTTTCAGTATTTGGTTTTCCTGTTCTCTCTTGATAACGTTTTCTTACTAAGGTCTTGCACATTTTCTCAAACTCTTACGAGCTGCGAGGCCACGAACGCCGGAAGTGACATTGGATTTTTGCGTTTGACCGCTGTCAAATCGTAAAAATCTGGAGACCTAATAACGTCGTAGCTTGTTAGAGATAAAAGTATGTCGCTCGTAATTCGTAGTCAAAGACCCTAATGCCTTCGCATTAATTCATGTCTCTGGGACGTTATAATTAAGAAAAGAACAGAAATGCTTCAGAATTTTCAGGTCATTTATATTAATGAGAATTTCCCTTTCTTTGCCAGATCAACATACGGGCGCCACTGCTTCATCGCCAACACAGGAAAGTTGCGCAGGTATAATGAACTTTGATGGTAAACTTATAGTCGGAAGTCTTTTCTTTTGGTTTTTGATGGTAAACTTAGAGTCGGAAGTCTTTTTCTTTCAGTATTTGGTTTTCCTGTTCTCTCTTGATAACGTTTTCTTACTAAGGTCTTGCACATTTTCTCAAACTCTTACGAGCTGCGAGGCCACGAACGCCGGAAGTGACATTGGATTTTTGCGTTTGACCGCTGTCAAATCGTAAAAATCTGGAGACCTAATAACGTCGTAGCTTGTTAGAGATAAAAGTATGTCGCTCGTAATTCGTAGTCAAAGACCCTAATGCCTTCGCATTAATTCATGTCTCTGGGACGTTATAATTAAGAAAAGAACAGAAATGCTTCAGAATTTTCAGGTCATTTATATTAATGAGAATTTCCCTTTCTTTGCCAGATCAACATACGGGCGCCACTGCTTCATCGCCAACACAGGAAAGTTGCGCAGGTATAATGAACTTTGATGGTAAACTTATAGTCGGAAGTCTTTTCTTTTGGTTTTTGATGGTAAACTTAGAGTCGGAAGTCTTTTTCTTTCAGTATTTGGTTTTCCTGTTCTCTCTTGATAACGTTTTCTTACTAAGGTCTTGCACATTTTCTCAAACTCTTACGAGCTGCGAGGCCACGAACGCCGGAAGTGACATTGGATTTTTGCGTTTGACCGCTGTCAAATCGTAAAAATCTGGAGACCTAATAACGTCGTAGCTTGTTAGAGATAAAAGTATGTCGCTCGTAATTCGTAGTCAAAGACCCTAATGCCTTCGCATTAATTCATGTCTCTGGGACGTTATAATTAAGAAAAGAACAGAAATGCTTCAGAATTTTCAGGTCATTTATATTAATGAGAATTTCCCTTTCTTTGCCAGATCAACATACGGGCGCCACTGCTTCATCGCCAACACAGGAAAGTTGCGCAGGTATAATGAACTTTGATGGTAAACTTATAGTCGGAAGTCTTTTCTTTTGGTTTTTGATGGTAAACTTAGAGTCGGAAGTCTTTTTCTTTCAGTATTTGGTTTTCCTGTTCTCTCTTGATAACGTTTTCTTACTAAGGTCTTGCACATTTTCTCAAACTCTTACGAGCTGCGAGGCCACGAACGCCGGAAGTGACATTGGATTTTTGCGTTTGACCGCTGTCAAATCGTAAAAATCTGGAGACCTAATAACGTCGTAGCTTGTTAGAGATAAAAGTATGTCGCTCGTAATTCGTAGTCAAAGACCCTAATGCCTTCGCATTAATTCATGTCTCTGGGACGTTATAATTAAGAAAAGAACAGAAATGCTTCAGAATTTTCAGGTCATTTATATTAATGAGAATTTCCCTTTCTTTGCCAGATCAACATACGGGCGCCACTGCTTCATCGCCAACACAGGAAAGTTGCGCAGGTATAATGAACTTTGATGGTAAACTTATAGTCGGAAGTCTTTTCTTTTGGTTTTTGATGGTAAACTTAGAGTCGGAAGTCTTTTTCTTTCAGTATTTGGTTTTCCTGTTCTCTCTTGATAACGTTTTCTTACTAAGGTCTTGCACATTTTCTCAAACTCTTACGAGCTGCGAGGCCACGAACGCCGGAAGTGACATTGGATTTTTGCGTTTGACCGCTGTCAAATCGTAAAAATCTGGAGACCTAATAACGTCGTAGCTTGTTAGAGATAAAAGTATGTCGCTCGTAATTCGTAGTCAAAGACCCTAATGCCTTCGCATTAATTCATGTCTCTGGGACGTTATAATTAAGAAAAGAACAGAAATGCTTCAGAATTTTCAGGTCATTTATATTAATGAGAATTTCCCTTTCTTTGCCAGATCAACATACGGGCGCCACTGCTTCATCGCCAACACAGGAAAGTTGCGCAGGTATAATGAACTTTGATGGTAAACTTATAGTCGGAAGTCTTTTCTTTTGGTTTTTGATGGTAAACTTAGAGTCGGAAGTCTTTTTCTTTCAGTATTTGGTTTTCCTGTTCTCTCTTGATAACGTTTTCTTACTAAGGTCTTGCACATTTTCTCAAACTCTTACGAGCTGCGAGGCCACGAACGCCGGAAGTGACATTGGATTTTTGCGTTTGACCGCTGTCAAATCGTAAAAATCTGGAGACCTAATAACGTCGTAGCTTGTTAGAGATAAAAGTATGTCGCTCGTAATTCGTAGTCAAAGACCCTAATGCCTTCGCATTAATTCATGTCTCTGGGACGTTATAATTAAGAAAAGAACAGAAATGCTTCAGAATTTTCAGGTCATTTATATTAATGAGAATTTCCCTTTCTTTGCCAGATCAACATACGGGCGCCACTGCTTCATCGCCAACACAGGAAAGTTGCGCAGGTATAATGAACTTTGATGGTAAACTTATAGTCGGAAGTCTTTTCTTTTGGTTTTTGATGGTAAACTTAGAGTCGGAAGTCTTTTTCTTTCAGTATTTGGTTTTCCTGTTCTCTCTTGATAACGTTTTCTTACTAAGGTCTTGCACATTTTCTCAAACTCTTACGAGCTGCGAGGCCACGAACGCCGGAAGTGACATTGGATTTTTGCGTTTGACCGCTGTCAAATCGTAAAAATCTGGAGACCTAATAACGTCGTAGCTTGTTAGAGATAAAAGTATGTCGCTCGTAATTCGTAGTCAAAGACCCTAATGCCTTCGCATTAATTCATGTCTCTGGGACGTTATAATTAAGAAAAGAACAGAAATGCTTCAGAATTTTCAGGTCATTTATATTAATGAGAATTTCCCTTTCTTTGCCAGATCAACATACGGGCGCCACTGCTTCATCGCCAACACAGGAAAGTTGCGCAGGTATAATGAACTTTGATGGTAAACTTATAGTCGGAAGTCTTTTCTTTTGGTTTTTGATGGTAAACTTAGAGTCGGAAGTCTTTTTCTTTCAGTATTTGGTTTTCCTGTTCTCTCTTGATAACGTTTTCTTACTAAGGTCTTGCACATTTTCTCAAACTCTTACGAGCTGCGAGGCCACGAACGCCGGAAGTGACATTGGATTTTTGCGTTTGACCGCTGTCAAATCGTAAAAATCTGGAGACCTAATAACGTCGTAGCTTGTTAGAGATAAAAGTATGTCGCTCGTAATTCGTAGTCAAAGACCCTAATGCCTTCGCATTAATTCATGTCTCTGGGACGTTATAATTAAGAAAAGAACAGAAATGCTTCAGAATTTTCAGGTCATTTATATTAATGAGAATTTCCCTTTCTTTTCCAGATCAACATACGGGCGCCACTGCTTCATCGCCAACACAGGAAAGTTGCGCAGGTATAATGAACTTTGATGGTAAATTTAGAGTCGGAAGTCTTTTCTTCTTCCCCCCCCCCGGAAATTTATTTGGGTTAAAAACGGGGACACAAAAATGGGGAGGACAGGAGGATTGGCTGATGAGAGAAAAAAGATGGAACGCCGCTGCATGGTTAGCTATTTCATCAAGTATTTCCTCAGGGTATTATTTTCACTGGTCTCCCGTAAGAAGGTTGATGTCAGTGAAAGAGGAGATTGAGAAAGGGGTGGACGGGACAGTAAGATGGGATAATGGGGGGATGGACGGTGCTACGAGTGGATGGGGCAATGAGAGAATGGAAGGTTAAGAGAATGCAAAGAAAACAGAATAGTACATTATTAAGAACGACAAAACTGTTTTACGACAATGATAATGGTCATTCATATTGTAATGAAATTGATATAGTGATTGGACGAGCTAAGGTGCGCGTGCTAAGATGTATAACGATTGTATTTGAATGTATGCTCGCACAAGTTCGAAGACTAAGAGACGGTTATGTGGCGAGTACGGAATGTGCCATGTACTCGTAATATAGGATATATAAGAGACTCACGCTATGTAGTAGCGGGTGTGTGTTAGTAGACTTGCCATGTACAAGTAAGCTAAACGTAAGAGTCGAGTAATGAAACCGTTGGCTGTTGGACTCTTTGACTGGAAGTTGTTATCGCCCGCGCGCGTTACAATATTTGTAACTGTTTCATGTTCTTGGACAGGTGAAGATGCTGGTGAAGAAGCTTTATCTCCAACGCAGGGAACTAGTCCAGGTAAATTTAATTTCTACCACAAACTGTCTCTCTTTCTCCTTTTCTTCGCCCCTCTCTCTGGGAGAGTTGATTCCACTTCTTGTTTGTAACATTGGGAGGATGGAAAGTTGAAGAGATCTACCGGAACACAAAAGGATGGCACTAAGGAAGCAGGAGAATAAAGAATCGACTTTGGAATAGACGAAAAATTGCCGGATGACAAATTGAGTGAATGGGAGAGAATGGTGAGGAAAAAGCTGATTTCGCGGCGTAGTCATTTACATTGACGAGTGTGCTGCGTCATCACCAACAGTGAAAATTTCCCGGTAGACCGAGTTTCTATGTTAAACATAGCCTGCCGGGGGTATTCTCATCATCTCTCCCCTGGGGTCCTGAGTGACTGATTTGGGAGAAATGTGGAATTGAAGAATGCATAGCTGGGAAGATAGAAGGATCGGAATATGGATCTATGGGAGGATGCGAGTATAAAAGAGTAGATTGGCCGGAAAGGGTGGGAGAATTGGATAAAAAGGGCCGGGAGAATTTAAAATGACAGTAGTCGAGCAATATTGAAAACAACCAGAAGGCTTTATATATCAAGAAATTCTTCACTTTCCCTTTCAGAGCAACCAGAGGAAACTGGTGAACAGGAAACAGGCAGTCCAGGTATTTAGAGTTTTTAATATTAAATTCAGTCTTACGGTCTTTTCTTCACCCCTCTTCTCGATGAAGTTGATTCCAGTTGTTGCTACAACGAAAGGATGGGAGAATATGAAAGCATGGAAGTAGGAAAGCATGGCCGGAATAAAAATTCGAGAATATAGAAATGGGGGAATGACTAGATGGGAAATTTAGTTGATGGGAAAGAATGGCAAGGAAGTAGCTGTTTCATGAGTTAGTCATTTGTATTGCTGACGAGTGCTGTTCTTTGCTTGATCAATATACAGGTTCCATAGCCCCATTATCAGAAACTACTGCAGGTAATTTGAACTTTTATATCAGACTCAAACAAGAAAAAGCTTTATTTGCATATTCAAACATTGTTACCACATGGGCGTACGGGCCGAGGGGGGGGAATCTGCAGCCCCCGCCCCCCACCCCCCTCAGTTCAGAAATTTTTCAGGCAAAGCGATGAGGATTCGGGCAAAAGTGCTCAGGAAAATAAGTTATTCTGTTTGGAAAAGCCATATATCGTTTAAATGTGTATCATGAAATCCACGGGATGGATAGTGTTTTCATCAACAAAAAAATGACAAAAGAATCAAAGCAAACGAAGACCAAGACCTTTTGTGGTGGCTCTGAAGAGAGCCGTTTGGAATGGCTCCAAAAAGAGCCCCTTTAAAATTTCTTGAACTTTCCATACGAGGAAGAATTGAGGCAAAATCCGATAGAAAATCGAGCAATTTCGGTTTTCAGTGGACAAAAATCTGGTACCAGAATAATTTTCAGTATTTCACAGTCCTTTTTACAATTTCTTAAAGCTAAAGATATAAATAGTTGCCTGAAATAACACCGAAAACAATTTCCCATAGGAACGAGAGAAAATAAATTTCCAAGTTCTGAGAAATTGGGCAAACACAGGTAAAATTTCATCATCAGTCTCATTTCACCAGTACTTTCAAGTGTTTCATACGAAGTTCGACATTTCCTTTCGACGCTTGGTGTTGCTAGAAATAATTTTTTTAGAAGATATTTAAAACAGTCATACAGGAGTTTGCAATACCATGTAAATAATGTTGGTACAAGGTTTTTGGCAACTTGTTACTCGAACTTCTGGTGGATTCCGTCTTAACTGTTTCTATTGTAATTTTCTGAATTGACTAGGTTTCAAAAGAACTATTTTTGGAATGATAACAGTTTCATTAGACGTGAGAATTGCGAACGTTTTTGTTTTTACTGCGATTTGAGTGCGTTTGAACAACACTCAGGTTTTTGGGCAAAGTGTAATATTTTTCGGGCAATAAGGTTACCGCCCCCCATCTCCGACTCTGACTCTTTTCAACAATAAATTAAAGTTGGGACCGAGCCTCATCTTCGAAGTTGCAGGAACACAAACAGTGTCGCAAAGTGTGCCACGTCAATAAATTTAGTCTTATCTGCCTATAGAAATCTCAGAAGAACAAAATGAACAGCTTACAGCTGCCGACAAACGCAAATTGTGCCCACTTGGTGGTCAATATAGTTTAAATACTGATAGTTAGTGTTCTCGGAAGAACTGACCGTGTATATTAGTTGGCGGAATCTCGCTCGTATTAGATGCTTTACAGTCTTTTAAAACCTTTAGTAAAACTATTTCAGTCGTAAACGATATCTACGTATCTGACCCGTCCTTCTAGAGTTGTTGATTAACGAAGTAATATTTGTCTCGCAGGAGCCTGCAGAGATTTTTCCCAGCTCCCCCAAACAATACCTCATTTTGTCGGTCGTGTCGAGGAATGCGATGCCATTCGCAGATACCTCTGTCCAACACACAATTGCAGATGTGTTCTCGTCCATGGCGTTACTGGTGTGGGTAAAACAAGCACGGCTATCAAGGTGGCGAACGACAGATTGAACTCCGACAGTCGCACCGTGGTTGTCTATGTCAACTGCAGGTGTATAAATTCTCTGGATGATTTCGCAGGAAAGGTTCTTCAACAAGTTTACCATTATCCTGTAGAGGACCCGATATCTGAACTGAAAAATCGTCTGAAAAGCCAAGATCGCTACACGGTGTTGTTGCTGGACAACTTTGAATTTCTGCTGCATTTGGGCGACATTGGGCAAGAAACTCCCCATGAAGGAGCAATGGTACAAAACTCAGCATGCGAAGAATCGAAGATCATGAATTACATCACTGAAATGGTCAAAATGTCGAGAAAAATCAAGTTGCTGATCACCTCATCGGAGAAAGTTGTGTTTCCGGGCTTAGGGCAGGAAAAGGTCCATCTGGCTTGCTTTAACCCAGAAGAATCATTTCAGCTCTTGCAAAAAGCTTGTGGAGAAAGGGTAGAAAACCAACAATGCGTGCACCAGCTATCAGAGATTTGTAGCGGCATTCCACTCGTTCTCTACACCTTAGCCTTGTCGCACAGCGACCTTCTTACTCTCGTGAAACTTATGAACTGCTCATCGCCACACGATAAATTTGAGTTCTTAAGAAAGATTCAGGCAGTCCCAAAGGAAGAGAAGATCGGTGTTTGCCTTGACATTTGCTTTGGCAGACTTACCGAACAAGAAAAGAACACGCTTATAACATTAGCACTTCTTAGAGAGCGCTTTACTCTGCCTAGAGCTGAACAGATTTTTCGTGCATTGATGGTGAGCGAACATCAGCTCTCAAAAGATGCATTGGAACTGGCAAAGCGATCTCTTTTGGAACAAAACATCGTTGGGGGTGTTTGCTTTTATACTTTTCTCAGAGTCATTCGCGAGTACTGTGGAAAGAAGGCATCAGATCAACCAGGTTTTCGTGAGGTCTTTGTCAATGCGCGGAATGTGTTCATCGATCACTTCTTTACGTTCCTAGCGAAAACATTTAGACTGTTCTTGAGCAAGAACGCTTCAGACGCAATCACAGATTTCCAACAGGACGAAGAGAACATCATGCAACTTATTGAGTGGTGTGACAATGGAGAAATGACTGCAGATCAAATTGGTATTTGCATCGATTTCTTCAACAGCGTTGGGGAGCTTCTGGCAAAGATGATTGGAAAGGAGAAATATGAATTTGTTTTCAAATTGTTGAGAAGGAAGTCTGAAGAAATGAGAGATCAAAAGAGATTGAGTGAGTGCCTCACCTCCCTGGGGATCAAACAAGTGTTCCACTGCTCGTGTTCACCAGGTCTGTGTGGTGTAGCCGCGGAACGAGCCAAGGAATATTTGGTGGAAGGAGACAGAATTCAGAGCAGTCTGGACTTGGACATCAACACTGGAAATAGCCGGGCTCAATGTCTTTCCAAACTTGGTCGATGTCTCGCAAAGGAAGGCCAATTCCTTGAAGGGAAAGAGAAGATCCAGCAGGCAATCGACATTAGACGACGACATGGGGACGAGGACATCATCATGCTTGCGGCAACATACAATGATATGGCAGGTACGTGTCATGTTTATTGTATATGAATACTCGGTTTCTGCAAGGCCTTGCGACAGTAAAATAGTCTTGTTCATCAACACAGCACAATGATTCCAGCGAAGAGTCTGGCCACGACCAATCGGATTGGGATTCCAACCCACTAACAATTGGACGCTCTTGCCTCACACAGTCCGATCCTAACGGTTCTTCCCATCCTTTCTCGAACAGCGGCTGGTAATGGAGTCTTATCTAGAGTTTAATTTTGTATTAGTGTTCCTTCTACTTAACTAGAATCAAGCATCAAGACAGAGGAATAATAACATTTTCTTGTAAATTATTTTGGTAGTGGCCTTATCGCTCGAAGGAGACCACCAGGAAGCCATTTTAGTCAGAGAACGACAGACCCTTCCAATTTACAGGGAGCAGCTGGGTGATCATCCCTTCACGGCAACCATCCTCAACAATCTGTCCAATAACTACTATGCTCTTGGTCAATACGACAACGCTAAACAGTATTCAGATGAAGCACTGAGGATGCGACTTGAGTTGCTGAAGGATCATCGTGACACGGCCAAGTCTCTATTTGATCTTGGTATGGTGCACAAAGAAAGGGGAGAACTCCAGGAAGCGAAAGAATGTCTTGAAAGGTCTCAGACCATCCAGGAGAAGGTGCTGGATGACAACATCAGGGATCTTCAACGGTATTTTGCGGTTTTTCATTGTAGCATCGGCGTGCTTAAACATCGGTTTTAGCGTAATTCAGAGGCCCAGCATTGGCACACTTATTGTCTATCAATCACGATTGATTGATAGACAGCACTCGACAGAGCCTGCGTTTGTTTTTTTTTGCAAATTATGGCAGAAAGCGTCGCTATACATGTCAGTTGTATCGATACTAAGACGTGATTGATCATTGCAGTTATACACAGAACTTAAGCAGTTGCGAAATTAAAGCCTGAACAGGATTCGAACCCATGACCTCTGCGGTACCGTGCAGTGCTCTACCAACTGAACTATCAAGCCCACTGGGAGCTGGTCACATTGTGAGTTCGTAATATACCTGTGATTTAATTTCACAAC